ACTTAGCTGAATTGATGTTCTAAGGGAAACGCTGTTGTAAAGTGCAAAAGACGTTGACTCAAATGCTGTTTCTTAATCTGACCACCAGGGGGCGCTGTCACCCCAGGCGGCTTGGTTGTGGGCAGAGGGGTTTGAGGCCAGACAGGTTAGGTACTTAAGAAGTTCGCCTGTCACATACTGCAAACTGGGAGCCCTTAATTCAGGGAGTATTAATAAAACTGTAAACAGTGCAGCGTATGGAGATTAGGGAACACAGCACAACAACGAGAATAGAAGATGTATCCTTTTTTCAATCCCCATCTCATTTGACCTGTCTGCATCATTTGACCCCGTGGACTCTGACTTTCTTCTTGAGTTTCTTTTCCTTTGACTTCCAGGACACGACTCTCTCATGATCTTCCTCCTGCCCTTAATAATAACGAACATTTTACTGAGCACTTACAATAAACCAGGCCCTGTGCTCAGTGCTTTGTATGCATTATCTCATTAAATCCTCTCGTCCCTGTCGATACTGTCATTCATTCTCCACAGAGATTAAGTCAGGGGCTTGGTTTACATGACCAGCGGCAGTGGGAGTTAGCCTCAGCACCGGGACACCCTAGTCCTAGCCTACCGCCCACACGGCGGTCCTCACCAGGCTGTCTCCCGCATCGCCACCCAGGCTGCACTTGCGGGTGGTAGGCAGTGCTGTGTGCCGTCCTTTTCCAGTTTCCTCCTCCGCATCTCTTCCATGTGCTCCCCCTGCAGCCTGTCCTGATGCCAGCTGTGGAGCATCCCTCTCAGGAAGCAGTGACCACACCGTACTCTAATGGTCTCCTTGCTGGTCTGTCCCTCGAAACCAGGCTGTGAGCCCCTCCAGACAGCTTTGTATAGCTACCACCTGCTGTGCTTGGCACATAGTGGAGTCAAAAAGTTAATGGAATAAACAGCCTCAAGAAGGAGTTAAACACACACACAGCCATCCCTGAGCGAAGTATCACAGGTATTTGAGAGCAACCCTGTGAACCTATGACAGAGGCTGCAAGCTGTGTTAAAGGGACTATTCTCTGCAGTCATGCAATCCTGTGACTTTGAATTTGGGAATAATACTAACGTCAAAGGGCTAGGGCGCGGTGCAGGGTATTCTGGTGAGCTGAGAACGCTCAGAGCAGTGTCCACATTTACGTTCCCATCCCCAAGGTCGGGTCTGAGCCTGGGCAGGCGGGGCTGATGGTGCTCAGCTCCGGCATCCCCTCAGGTGTGCGGCAGCTGCTCCTGCCCCAGGTGGTGCCTGGGCAGCATCCCCTCCCCTGCTGTGGAGAGTTTCGGAAGCCCTGGAGGGAAGAGCAGAGAGCTGAGTGAAGGGTCTCCATTCTCAGTTTGTCATGGAATGTGTGATGATGGGGAAGGGAGCCCAGGAAGGGGCTACAACTACAGAAGTACCAGCCTGCCTTCGGGGCGATGAGGCCCAGGCCTGCCCATGCCCTTGAAGTGCAGGAAACATGGTGTTTGGCTGGCGCGTTTGATGGCTCCCCCCACAAGCTTCTAGACCCTTGCTCTCCACGATGGTAGCCACCAGCCGCGTGAGGCTGCTGAGCAGTTGAAATATGGCTGGTGGAACTCAGCTACTGGACCTTCCGCTTTACTTCATCCTAATTAATTCAGATAGCTCTGCATGGCTAGTGGTACCATATTGGACAGGCCGTGAACATTTCCAGCACTCTAGTTCTGTTGGACAGTGCTGCTCTAGGTGGTTTCTGTTTTAATAACAGCTTAGCGTCATCAAGGGAGGACTCAGGAGCATCCGAATCATTACATTTCTTACTGATGCAAAGCCATGGCCGACTTGAAGGAGAGATGTGCGCTTATACGTCCATACAAGTGTGTGTCTGTCTGCCTCTCTGTCTTTTTATAAAGTCTGTCTCCCATCATCTGTCTGTTTCTCTGCCTACCTACCGACCTGCCTACCTGTCTCCTTTACAGCTACTTTAGAGGTTTGTGATTTCTCCCCTTCCCAGTACCAGCTTTAGGAAGAAGCTATTTTTACAAATTTTTTGAGGGGGGGAGCTGTTTTTCCCTTTTTTCCTTTAAGAAGAGATTGATTGACCTCATTGAAGGGGATGTTCTCTAAGTGTTGCCAGGGAACGTCAGTGTGTTTTGCCACAACTGGCATCTCTGAGGTGCCTAGTCTCCGAGGAGCCTGCTCTGCAGGCAGCGACGTGCGTTCATTCCTGGTCCTCTGACCTCTGACTCTGCCGGGGGAGGGCAGTGCCTGGGGGTGGCTGGACCTCTGGCGTCCCTTGAGGAAGTCGCTGCAACCATCAATTCTGAATGATGTCTGGGAGAGGGTAATATCTAATGTCGAGAAAATAACTGTCTGATTCTAGAAGTAAAGAGGCCAGACATGGCTTTTTTATTTTCCGAGTATTTTATTTAAATAAGTTTTTCTCTTGGTGAGTTTAAATTTTTTAGAAGACAAAAATACTGACAAATACTGTACACCTTGGACCATTTATGTTCTCTGTGATGAGGTGACTGCCCTTTCTCTACATCTTCCCCTCCCCCCACCCCTCCCCTCCAAGAAACCCGCAGCGAATCCTTTGAGCATCAGGAGAAAGGCCTCTTGGTGGTGTCTGAGTCTCGCTGAAGCCATTCAGCAGTGCTGGGCCTGGGGGCTCCTCCTCAAGCCTATGATGGTTTGGGAAGCCTCTTCCTTACCGTCTTTTTGGCCCTCTGTTAGCTTAACACCGCCTCCCCCAAGGTGGGCCAAGCAGGCTGCAGTCCTGAGGCACCCTGCCTGCCAGTGGCAGTTCTGGGACAGAGGCTGGGAAGAAGGAGTAAACATGTAGAGGAATAAAGGGATGGAGCCAGGTGGTGCCCAGAGAGGAGGGGAATAAGAGAAAGGAACAGAGGAGAGACAGATGAGAACGAAGTGGGGATGTTTTTATTGGAGTGGACCCCAGTAATCACTTTGAGCTCCTTTCATGCACCCACTTATTCAACAGCAATTTGAGGGCCTGTCATGCTTCGGGCACTGTTCTGGGTACTCCAGTGAAGGTTGTCAGGGGAGGTTGGGTGGGGAAAAGATAAGCCTCCTCCAGGGTTTGGGTCTCCAAACATGGCTATGGAAGCAACCGAGAAGTACGTTTCTGGGTGTTTCACGCCGAGAGGTACAGCAAGTCCGCTCAGTGAGGAGGCAGCACTGCACCTGGAGACGGAGGCCTTGTCAGGGCAATGATGACTGACTGCTGTCTTAATTCAAACCAGCAGCCAGTTGCCATGGCAACCGTGGTACTTGTGCGGTCCCCGATCCTGGAGATCCGCTCTTGGAGATCACATCCGACACCAGTCTCGGCCGTCAGCCCCCACATCTCCCTCAAGTCATCCGTTTCAGGGGGGCTGAGACTTGGAGACAGAAAGGGCAGCTCACCCTGGTGGGCGGCGGGAGACGTGGGGAGGCCCGTGTGTGTCGTGAGGGGAGACGAGTCGTCCTGGTATGTGCAGGGGAAAGCCCGATGCTCCGTGACAGCTCTCCACGTGGCAAGGGGACAGAGCACCGCAGGGTGCTTCTCTCTCTGTCAAAGAGGTTTATGAGTGAGGGGTCTGAGTGTCCAGGGTCCTCAGGGCCCCTTAGGGTGAGAGGATGAACGAGACTGGTTTTAAAATATAAGCAGGACTGAACTACAATTTACAGGGTCACCAGTCAGAAGACCTTGGTGCAGGAGTTGCCCCCGGACACCCCCCTCCACAGGACCACACCTGGACCCTACCTGGAGGGCAGGTGAGTCCCAGCCAGCCCAAGTGAGCAGAGTACATTTTTCCATAAACACCGTCTTACAGAATTTAGTTTTTGCTTCTATAAATATCACAGTTTAGCTACATTATTAATTAAATTGCAATTTCACCACCATTTAGAAGAGCTTCCATGGGAAAATATTTCAAGAGAGCTACCCAGCAGATTTGCAAATAAACTTTTACGGCGCAACTGGCTCCCACATTGGGAATTATCCATCTTTGTGATATGGCCACGAGACAATCAAAATACCAACCAGTTCATCCTATGAGTGGATTCATTTGACCTCCCAACCGCAGTCCAGTGGGGAGACATTCTCCTTAACTCACCGCGGACCTAGTTTACATGTCCTGGACCTCAGAGCACACTTGTCAGCCCGACCTCGGTCCGCAGGTGCCCTCCTCCTGCGGAACTCAATACCCAGCTTCCATCCGTTGCAGCAGTTAGTGGGCTCACGTAGGAGGGAAGTTCACCTGGGGGAACTGGTGAGGTATTACAGGTTTACCCTTAACATCGTCGTGTATCCACCAGCGTCCACAGACAGCTGAGAGTACCGACTGTGTGCAAGGCACTTGCCTGAGCTTCAAGATAAATATTAATAAACCTCTGTATAGCTTCATCCTACTTTTATTTAAACTCTGTAACTTCGGCATCCCATCCGCAACATACAGTGCATCCACGACAGCCTTCTGAAACTGTTTCCAGTGTGCTTTCTGTGAGACTGTACCAGGGAGGGATTGTCTTAATTCTTTCCCTGTGGTCTCACAGGAGATCCCCGGCTCAGGGGTAGCACCTCCTTTCTATCTGTGAAACGTACGTTGCACAGGTGCACAGTGAAGTCCACGGAAGTGGATGGAGTACCCCTGGTTTCTGTAGCCTTCTAGCCGTCACTGCCAGGAGCTGTTTGCTCTTGCTTGGAGAAGGGAGCCTTGCTGAGTGGTTCTGGGGTTAGCATTGCAAAGAGAGGTCTTGGACTACGTTAAATACCCGTCACTGGTAATGAGGACCCTGTCATGAGTTTCAGGACCATAGCTTTTGATGACTTCTGATCCATCACACTTTAAACTTTTCCTCCCAGGGGAGAGGCCAGAAGCACAGGAACTTGGTGTGTGTGTGTACAGGAATGGGGACTGTACCAGGCGGCTGGAATGTCCAAATATGATTTCCAGTAAAAGATTATGTAGGAAAAGGAACAGGAAAGCATCCATCTCTAACCTGAGTGCTGAATGGAACTGACAGCAAGTAGGCTCCTTGCCTGGTTCTGTAATTGTGTCTGTGTGCCTGGATTGGCCAGGCCTCCCTATGAGATGTTTTTGCAAGAGCAGATAATGTTCTGCCTCGTTTAGAGCCTTCCATAAAGTAGACATTTAGTGACGTTTGATAAACAGAATATACTTGCCCAGGGACATGTTGCCTGAATAGTGTGTGTGTGTGTGTGTGTGTATGTGTGTGTTTATTTGTGGTGTGTGCATGGTGTGCGTGTGTGCATTTGGGAGATATGTCAAGATACATGGATACATGTTCCTTGTGCTTTGCATATGGAACATGCCAGAGATAGGTGGAAGGCATGCCTGAGTCTGTAGTCAAGAGCATTGCGATTGGACATGGAAGGGCTGAGACATCACCCAAGACTTGTCCCCGAGCTCCCCGGGAGTGCCCTCCACGAGGACACTCAATCCGAGGTTTGCTCCCTGGTTGAGTAGTTCCTCTGTGGATGTGAGGGCAGCACTTCAGGGACTTCTGCCCCCTACCCTGTGTGTGGTTGGAAGGCAGCTGAGCCCCCAAGGGAGGACACCTCTGCCTCCTGCCTAACTAGACAGGCAGTGAGGGCCTCTTTTCCATCTGGAGAAGCTTGGGCTGGGCGGAGATCCAGAGGTCTTCTTCAGCCTTCTTCTTTTTCTTCTTCTTCTTCCCCTTGTTCTGCTCTGGCTGTTGGCCGCTTTTGCCCGACCGGCTCCAGCAGCAGTGGCAACAGATGAAGAGGAATGCAATGATCACCAGCAGGGGCAGCCCCAGCAGGATGCCCAGACAGATGCTGTTGAAGAGGTGCTCCTGGTGTTTGGTTGAGATGGTGTCCCAGATGGCACTGAAGAAGGCACTGATTTTCTCCATGGTGCTTGGCTGGGCTGGGCCAGAGAGACCTCTCAGCTCAGCAGCAAGTCCTGGGCGCAAGAGGACGTAGACTTGCCCACGTGTAACTTCTTCCTCTTCCAGCTTTGGGCTTGGGCATGCCACAGATAGCACCTAAAGAGAGAAAAGCGGATAATTTAAGAGAGATGCAGTGGGAATGGTCTGTAATTTTTAATAACATCGTAGATTTTTAGGCTTAGGAAAGGGGAGGAAATCAAGGATTTCCAGAGTTCACTGAAATTGGATTGGGACTCAATAAACAAGATAAATGCATGCATTTAGTCAATTAAGTATTAACTAATTCTTTCTATGTACACACTATGCGGGGCTCAGGATATAAAAATTAATAGTATGTCGGACTTGGCACATAGTGGGTGCTCAGCAGTTGCTGGATAATAAATTAATGCGTGTATTCAGTGTTCTGCCTGGGGATTGGCTCCCTGGATCCTCTACAGGAGTAGTTCTCAGCTTTTCTCCACTGCAGCTCACCTGATAGGTGTTGAATACATACTCCCCACAGGTCAGCTCCGTATCTGACCTGCTGTGAAGACAACTTGCCACCTGCAACACTAATTAAAGCTTAAGCACAAGGTAGAATCTCCAAGTCTTGCTGGCTGTCGTAGGGGAGTCGGACCTCCCCAGCTAAGAGGTCATCTGTCCTCATCCTGCCTCACTCCTGCCTTCCTTCCTGTCCCTTCATGCCCTCTTCCCTGCTCCACGTCTCCTTCCTCCTTCCATCCCACTCCTGTGCCTGGCAAGGACTCATCGCGCTTTGGGTGGGAAACCAATTCTCTCTGTTTCTGCCTTCCTCTCCCTCATTACCCTTGTCCCTGCTTTCTGTGCCCCAGCCAAATATTCCCAAGTCTCCTTCCCTGCCTGCTGCCTTCTTTGCAATGGAAGGAATTTTGCAGGCTG